TTGAATGATCAGTAATATTCAGACTAGTCAGTTGTTGCAGGTCTGAGGCGTCTCACCTGAGCAAAGGACCTCATGAACGGCACGCTGATGTTGCAGGTTCGGTAGAGGCTCATATCATCAGAGTTTGGACACTCGATTGCAATGTCTGAAGGTGCCTGAAAAACAAGCACATTTTCGATTTCAGACCAATGCATTTCTGCGGAGAAAAGCCCACAAATGAAGATCATTACAAAGACATTATGGAGTAAATCACTGAATGGATGAAGACATATTTCATTCATAATTACCCTTAAATGTTTAGGAATTTAAATGGTCAGTGTTTTGTGTTATGAGCACCTATTAGTTTGTGATTACGGAGTTTATTTAGGACAATATTTGGTCGAGATACAACTATTTGAAAATCTGGAATCTGAGGGTGCAAAAAAATCTAAATATTGAGGAAATCGCCTTTAAAGTTGTCCAAATTAAGTTCTTAGCAATGCATATTACTAATCAAAAATTAAGTTTTGATATATTTACAGTAGGACATTTACTAAATATCTTCATGAAACATGATCTTTACTTAATATCCTAATGATCTTTGGCATAAAAGAAAAATCGATAATTTTGACCCATACAATGTTTGTTTTTGGCTATTGCAAAAAATATCCCCCAGCGACTTAACACTGCTTTTGTGCTCCAGGTTCATATATGTGTTGCTCAGTCACTTATCAATGAGATTAGGATGCTGCCTATGAAGTCACTGAGGTAGTTCACTAGGCTTTGGACCAGATCCACACACACTGACTCATAGTTTCCCTTCCACTCTTGGCCTCTTTATCAGCGACCCCTTCCACCTCACGTTTGAATTCCTTCTTTAATGCTCTAAACCCTCATAAATACAGGTTAGACCTGGGCTGAGACTCAGATCAGGGTGTTTTTCCAGAAAACAAACCTTCAGCACCAGACTGGAGAACTGGAGGTTTGGAGAATGCGTGATGTGTAGGATCGTGCCGTACGCATTTTCTCCCCGGTTCTCTAAACGCGCCTCCACCAGCACTTTCCTCCGGCTGGCCTCCACCAGACGCTCGCTGCTCGTTCTCTGATGGACACATGGCGGCCACGAGGAGCGCTCGCGTCGCCCGCAGAACTGCCTGAAAGAGACAGACATAACAGGGTTTCTGAAGGTTTCATCAAGGTACTTGTTTAAGACCTTTTTAAGGAATAAACTGAGGGGAACACAATATGTTCTCAAAATGTAAATGCATAGAGAGTAGACAATGAGTCATATTAGTAACACTTTAAAGTTTGAAAATACAACTTCCAACAGATCTGCATTACTTTTTAATTCTTTTTACAAAAAAATGTAATAAAATACTGTAGTTTTTAACTTGAATAGCTCGGCTCCCAACCACTAGAATATGGGGGGAATCTGTTCACGATGCAAACAAGTGATGTTCTTCATCTTGTTTTTCGACGCAAATGTCTAAAGATTCTTAAATGAAGACATAAGAAGTCTTGTTTTCTGAGAAATGGATCAAAGATTAAGTGAGTTTATGATTAAATAAGAACAAAATATCTGCTAACGGGTTCAGAAAATTGTACCTAATTCATAGCAAAGTTTTTCAAACCCCACTGACAGATTGTTTTCATCTTTTAAGCATAAACTCCATTAGTTGTGTTCAATTATTCAGAAAACATGACTTCATTTTGCATCTATCTTGATTAAAGGATGCTTAGATATTTATACTGGAAAACAAGTCAAAAATACTGAGTAAGAAAATCCATGACTACACTGCAAACAAGTCTTGTTTTCCATTGCAAACATCAAAACATTCTGAAATCATGATACATTTACTTTTTCAGAAAACAAGACACAATATCTTGTCATTTTGCTTCTCAAGTAAATGCATCTTGATTCAAGAATATTTAGACATTTATACTATATAAAACAAGACCAAAATACTAAGTAAGAAAATCCTTTTTGCAGTGTATGAATTTAAGACTTCATACCCAATTTAAGACCTTTTAATGTATGAATTATGACTTTTAAGACCCTGCTTAAGGACTGAGGTGTTTCAGTGTGCGAGGAAGAGCTAAAATGTGCGTTTGAGGACAAACCTGCAATACTATATAAAACAAGACCAAAATACTAAGTAAGAAAATCCTTTTTGCAGTGTATGAATTTAAGACTTCATACCCAATTTAAGACCTTTTAATGTATGAATTATGACTTTTTAAGACCCTGCTTAAGGACTGAGGTGTTTCAGTGTGCGAGGAAGAGCTAAAATGTGCGTTTGAGGACAAACCTGCGATCTAATAGGTCAGAGCTGCTCTGCAGGATGAGGTTGGGAATGCACTGATCATCATTATCACAACCGTTCCAGAATGGTAGCTGGAGAGAAAGAAATGTCATTTGGAAAGGTGCAAGACAAAAGTGTTATGTGTCTGTCTGTCTGTGTGTCTGACCTTTGACTGCAGACTGGTGGGCCACCCGTCGTCCAGCACCGGCCCTTCATCTGCGTTCTGCAGGCCTACGGTAACACTGAAGATCAGGGGTCGCGTGTAATCGGTCACTTCCTGTGTAAACAAACAGAACGATACCATTTTAGCATTGCAAAGATTATTTTTTTACTGCATATTTGTGACCGTGGACCACAAAAGCAGTGTTGAGTCGCTGGGGTATATTTGTAGCAATAGCCAAAAAAACATTGTATGAGTCAAAATTATCGATTTTTCTTTTATGCCAAAAATCATTAGGATATTAAATAAAGATCATGTTCCATGAAGATATTTTGTAAATTTCCTACCGTAAATATACCAAAACTTAATTTTTGATTAGTAATATGCATTGCTAAGAACTTCATTTGGACAACTTTAAAGATGATTTTCTCAATATTTAGATTTTTTTGCACCCTCAGATTCCAGATTTCTAATAGTTGTATCTCGGCCAAATATTGTCCTATCCTAATAAACCATACATCAATGGAAAGATTATTTATTCAGCTTTCATATGATGTATAAATCTCAATTTCGAAAAATGGACCCTTATGACTGGTTTTGTGCTCCAGGGTCACATTTGGTCTTGTTTTCCAGTACAAATATCTAAACATTCCTAAATCAAGATATTTACTAAAATATCAAAATAATGCCAAAATATATATGTTTAAAACCACATGGGGAGATATTTTTCTTGTTTTAAGCATACAGTAAATGCACTTAATTTTTTAATAATTTTTTCTGACTCAATGTTTTAAGAAAGTTAAACAATGTACCTTGATTTAAGAATGATCAGATTTTTATTAAAGATTACCAAGACAAACTCATTTTTTCAGAGGATTAATTTGCACGGATTAATTGTTCACTTTAAGACTAATAATGTGCACTAACAAGATAAATATTGTAAATTTTGATTTCATGGGGACTTTATGAAATCAAATGCATAATGAATAATGCATCCTTGCTGAAAAAAGTATTAATTTCTTGCAACAAAAAACCAAAAAATAAATAAATAAATAATATATATTTTTTCAATCATGACAACTCTCGGAAGACTTTAGCATGGTGATGGATATGACAATGCTAATGTATTTGGTCTTGGCGGAATAGATCTGCTACGCTGCTGCTGAATTGCTGCTGCAGTTGGTTATTGCTGTAGTTGTAGATTATTGCTGCTGCTGCAAGCAAGTACAGGAACTTGCTACTGTTAATGCATACGGCGATACAGTGCCGTGAGTATTTAAGGCATGCTGCTGCTGCACAAATAGTATATAAAATAACCCGTAGAAGATCTATACAGGTGGAGCTGGGGAAGGTGGAGGGTTTCAGAGAAACTCTGAAAGCGCGCTGCAGGAAACTCAAGCGAATGCTAGCCAGCTATATAAATGCAAGGCAGTAAGCTCAACCCGTCAGCCTGCTCCATCTAGAGTTTCATGACTGAACCATACATACATACATACATACATCTTACTGACCCCAAACCTTTAGACCTCAATATAGATGCTAGATTCATTAAAAAATGAGCTGAAATGGATAAAAGTGACTGCAGTGTGAACACATGTACAGAAATTGGCTCACATGAACATGGAAATACACTTGCTGGCAGTAATCCAAGTCCGGCCGCAGGGTGACGTCATGGGGCTGCGGCTCTTCAGTGCTGTCCAACACGGCTCTGGGGAAATATCTGCTCTCCTCGAAACCAAAGCTGTACCTCAGCGCTGAACAGAAAAGCAACATCTCAATGTCAACAATAGCAACATCTCTGTTTATGCATTTCCAAATATATAGTTATTTTATAAGAGCAAATCTGGTTCGTAATGCACCTTATATTCTTAAAAATAAAGCCTCCAAAAGTTTTGTTTTTTAATCATTTTCGTTTCTCCTAAAATCTCAAAACGAGAAATACAAGCTGAAAGAGATTAAACTATGTTATATATAACACACTAAAAATATAGCGCTAAATATCTTTTGATCTTGATTTGAGTTCATGTTGAGATTACAATGGTCTTTTTTGGAAGCAGAGACTTTTATTTTTGCTTATTTATCTCCATTTAATCTTACTGCTGTCTATGAGAAACAATTATGATACAGTATTAAAGAGACTTAATTTGGGATTTGTTTCCCCTCCTATGTGATACCAGGATTTTAATCATTAGCTACAACTTAAACCATTAAGAAAATTATTACTTGAAATAAATAGTAAAAGGTTCAATGAAAAAAAGATATAAAGAAAAATCTTTAAAAACCCACATTTTTAACAATATATATATCATTTTTATTATTATTTCAGCTAGTTGCCATAGCAACATTTCTCATTTTCATTTGATTTAACTTGATGTAATAAAATAACAACTAAAATAACAATTAATTAAATCTATATAAACATACCTTAAAAAAATTACACAGAACAAAATGACTAAAACTTGAAAATGAAAATGGAATATATATAAAAAGCTAATTCAAAATATTAATAAAAACTATAATTAGTATATCAATGATACTAAAGTAACACTGTGTTATACATTCACATCCATTTACATCATATTAAAACTGTCTATTTGAATATTTGTGGAATTATAGTGTATTATAATAATACTTCGTACAGTATTTTATATATTTTTATTTTCACAAGTGATGATGGCTCAAGCCGCCAGTGTTATTTTAGCATCTTTGAGATCGAGTTATATTTTTAAATTACGATTTTTTTAAATTAATCTTAAAACCATATTCCTTCTTTTTGGATTCTCTGTTTTCGTTTTAATTTTAGTTTAAGTAATTTAGTTGTGTCTGTTTTTCAGTTTCAGTTATTTTAGTAAAATTTTTGTATCAAGTTAAACTAAATGAAAATGAAAAATTTTGCTTTGGCAACTAGCTGAAATATAAAAAGATTTTTGTTTTAAATATATATTTTAAAATTTGTTTTATTATTTTATTTCAAGTTTTTTTTTATGGTTTTAGTTTTAGTTAACTATAATAACCCTGTAAGACACAGCTCTGGAAATGGGTGCTAGGTTAAAATTAAAATTAAAATTAGCCCACAAATTACTCACCCTCGAAGCATCCTAGGTGTGTATGACTTTCTTCTTTCAGACGAATCCAGTCGGAGTTATATTAAAAATCGTCTTTGATCTTTCAAACTGTTTCATGGCACTCAGCTGGTGTTGCATTGCTTCAGTCCAAAAGAAGTTAAATAAAAAGCGCCCATCCATAAAAAAATGTCCCACACGGCTCCGGGGGACGAACAAAGGCCTCCTGTAGCGAATCGATGCGTTTTTGTAAGAAAAATGTCCATATTCAAAACGTAATAATCACTTTAATGTAACTTGCGCTCACTGTTGTACACGGAAGCCGTTCTGGTGGATGACGTATGAGGTATGAGGTCGCTCAGAAGTGACGCACACGGAAACACAGCAGAGAGATCAAAACAAAACTCTGGTCACTTATTAGAAGTACAAAAAGAGGATTTGTAAAGAAGAATGTCGGAGGATCCACCCGGAGCTGCTTCTGTGTACAACTGCTTGCGCAAGCTACATTAAAGTGATTATTATGTTTTGAATATGGACATTTTTCTTACAAAAACGCATCGATTCACTACAGGAGGCCTTTGATCACCCCCCGGAGCCGTGTGAGACACTTCTTTTATGGATGGGCGATTTTTATTTAAGTTCTTTTGGACTGATGCATGCAACACCAGCTGAGTGCCATGAAACAGCTTGAAAGATCAAAGACAATTTTAAACATAACTCCGACTGGATTCGTCTGAAAGAAGAAAAGTCATATACACCTAGGATGACTTGAGGGTGAGTAATTTATGGGCTAATTTTCATTTTTGGGTGAACTAACCCTTTAAGCTATTGGTTCATAAGTATGACTCTTAACTTAACCTGCCCCATGTGACGTGTGTAAACTCACCAAAGCAGAACTGCGGCGCCTAAAGCGCCCACAGACAGATCTATGAGCTCATCTCCATTCAAATCCATCATCCCATGCACACTGCGGCCAAAATAACGGAGGCCTGGAGAGATGTCACCAGCGGCTATTCTCTGAGGTAAGGGACAAGAATTAAAAATGAACAAATAAGGTGCAAAAGGTCATACACTCTTAAAAATAAAGGTGCTTCACGATGCCATAGAAGAACCTTTTTGTCTAAATGGTTCCATAAAGAACCTTTAACATCTGAAGAACCTTTCTGTTTCACAAAAGGTTCCTTATGTTGAGACAAAAGGTTCTTGAGATTATAAAAAGGTAAGAAAGAGATGGTTCTTTAAAGAACCTTTGACTGAATGGTTCTTTGTGGAACTAAAAATGGTTCTTCTATGGCATCGCTTGAAGAACCTTTTGAAGCACCTTTATTTTTAAGAGTGTACCTGTTATTATATTCTGGAATGCTGTTTAATCATGTTTATTAAATATCAGTGACTCCCAGTTGAGTCTTACCTGTTTGTATTTGGGTTGGATGCTGTTTTGTTGGCCGTAGAAGAGATAGATGGCTCCCTTGTGATTGTCCTCCAGTGGTGCACCCACTACCAGCTCACTGAAGCCGTCGCCATTCAAGTCCGGAAGAGTGGACATGGCCGCGCCAAACCGAGAATCATGGGTCTTTTCTGATGGTCCAAGAGTCCCATCTGGTATAAAAGAGCCCTGCGGAATAAACAGAGAAAGAAAGACAAGAACATTTTCATTCAATTGGCTGTTTAGAATCGAATACTAGTATACTAACCTTAAGCAAACAATGTTGTCGCATGACCTCGTGGCATCCAAACCATCTGAGACGTTGGTTTGAGGCTCATATTTTTGTTAAAATAATCAGTTGATCCATTATAATTAGTGGTGTGGTCTACACTGGATGCGGCGCGACACGACAAATCCCCAACAGTAAACTCCTGCCTCGCCTGACGTACTGAGACAAAGTTCAAATGATTTGCAACGCCCGCTTTGTCACATCCATTGTGAAAAGCCTCAAGCTGTTGGTTTATTTCATTAATTAATTAATTAACATTTTTTTTGCCTAGTAGAAGTTATGAATGGCCGGTAACTTAATTTAGTAACCAAATTGGCTGATGAGTGAAAAAGTTAAAATTTAAACCATAAATAATAAATAATATAATATAATATAATATATTTAGTGCTGTCAAACCATTAATTGCAATTAATTGCATCCAAAATAAAAGTTTTTGTTTATATAATATATGTGCGTGTACTGTGTATATTTATTATGTATATATAAATATATACTCATACAGTATATATTTTGAAAATATTTACATGTATTTATATGTATATATTTATATTTAATATACAAATATAATTTTTTTTCTTAAATATATACATGCATGTGTGTATATTTATATATACATAATAAATATAAACAGTATATTACACATATATTATATAAACAAATACTTTTATGTTGGATGCGATTCATCGCGATTAATCGTTTGACAGCACTAAATATAATGCAATACAATATATAATATAATGCAATACAATATATAATCTAATATAATACAATATAATATAATATAATATAATATGAACAATGAGTCAGCAATTATAGTGTTCACAAACCATGAGTACACAAAACATGCATATCTTAACAGTTATTCGGCAACAGAAGTTCTTCAGTAAATGCTCTGATCAATTGAGTTCATTCAGTGAAGTATTCATTCACTGATTCAAACTCACTGTAAAACGAGTAATTCCAGGGTCTTTTGAACGATACCTTAAAAGAACAGTCTTATAAGAGTCACTCGTTTGTGAAGTCGCGCTGTGTTCTGTTCAACAAGTAAATAGTTCGCTAAATGACTCACTAAGCGAACCGGCTTACACTGGTCGAGCTGTATGTTAATAAACCACTGAAAAGAATCTGCTCATAAGAATAATTTGCTGGTGAATCGGACTACAGTCGCGAGGTATGTTTGTTTTTACGTTTTTATTTTCAATACACGATCTTTTTACATCATCTTACTGAATTTAGCCTACAAGCTCAAGAAAAATATTAGTGCTGGGCAACGATTAATCTCGATTAATCGCATCCAAAATAAAAGTTTTTGTTTATACAATATATGTGTGTGTACTGTGTATATTTATTATGTATATATAAAGACACGCACATACAGTATATATTTTGAAAATATTTGCATGTATATATTTATATTCATATAATTTATATTATATATAAATATATTCAGTATATCAACATATATTTATTAAATATATACATGCATGTGTGTGTATTTATATATACATAACAAATATACATAGTACACAAACATATATTATGTACACAAAAACTTTTATTTTGGATGCGATTAATCGAGATGAATCGTTGCCCAGCACTAAAAAATATATAGAATTTATTCTGCTGTGGTGCTGTAGATTCAGCGAGAGTTGCGTAAACAAGCGGTGTATAATGAAAACGATGAATAGTATCCTACTTCGAACATAACCCAAGTCTTTCTGTGAACAAGTACTCTTTAAGAAAGCAGTATGGTGTTGTGTTTAGGATGTTGTCACCTGTAAGGTGATGGTGTAGATGTAAACTCTGCCTTTCTCCCACCCTTTGAAGAAGTACATGGGAGCTCCGACAAGGAAAAGATCCGTCAATCCATCGTCATCCAGATCAATCGGTGCCAGCTCACTTCCATAATACGATCCGATCTACAATTCACCAAAACATGCACATATACGTTAGGCCATAGTCTATGTATCTGTTTTGGGTAGTTTCTAGATTGTATTAACAGGGCTGCCAACTTTTGAGTTCAACTTGGAGTGAGAATTCCCACAGCGGGTTGGGTGGGGTACATTGTATTGTACAATTATGGGAAATATAAATATTAAGTTTACAGCAGTTAATTAAGTTGTGTTAAATTATTTTAAGTTTTTTAGGACAAGGACCCCTGGAGCAGGGACCCCTGATGGAAAATGTGCCAAGCAGAGCTACGTATTAAGCATATAGCCTTCAATATTAATAGAAAGGAAACATATTATGATTAAGAATAAATTGCATGTACCCTAATAAAAAAGTTATATATTTAAAATACATTTCATGCTAAGTATAGTTAACAAAAAAAAATAAAAATCAGTCCAAGTGCGCACATCCAGTAGGCAAAAAGCTCAATGTGGGTGCTCCACCACACAAGAATTTGAACCAAAAAAATCTAAGTAGGCACACCACAGCTCCAGAAAATACTAAGTATAGTTCAAATATATTAATATATTTACTGACAGATAACTCGAGACTTATTGATCTAAAAATTATAATTAAACTTTATTTGGAGTACTACTTCTGCATTATGCACATTTCATAATATTAAGTCTAAAATGTGTTTTACTGTCACTTTTGATGAGGATAATAATATCGGTCTTTAAATGCAAGATATTTAAAGTGTACCTGAAGTGCACTTAGCAATATTTCCACTTTAGCACAATCAAATATACTAAGTATATCTTTAGTTGTACTTCAGCACTACTTCCGCACAATGAAAGTGCATACAAAACTAGTTGTTCCAATTTAGCAGAATTTAAGTATACCAGTTTAGTATACTAAAAGTACAAAAGCTGGGCATGTTTTAAGCACATAAATATGAAAATGTATTTGTAGTATACTTAGCATGAAATAAATATATTTCACATACATTTAAGTATATCTATTTTTCACTAGGGTATATTAAGACCATGCATTTTACTGTCAGATGGACAAATACACATTTACTGGAACTTTATAAAAACTGAATTTTTAACATTTTAATTTTAATCTACAGCCTGTTTTTCTATTGCATCAATGATGGAAGACACATTGTGCGGCAGGTTCTTCTGAACTTGCGTTTCAACCCTGAAAGTTCCTGCCGGCTTTACAAACACCAGAAAACAGGAGACGCACTTTATCACATTCCCGTCTAAGTGCTATCCTGAGGGCTCAAACACACACACACACACACACACACACACACACACACGCGCGTCTGGTGCATAACAGGTTGATGGCTAAATGAATGTTGTGGTCAGCGACCGGCAGCGTTTGAACCAGTAAGCGTTTATTGTGTGCATTCACTGCAGGCCATGCGTACACAAACACTCACACACACAGACACACACACACACAAGTGCAGATGAGATGCACATGGGCTGCAGAGACGCCTGCCCATCTGGAGCGGGTGACTGAGTCTAGACCTTCACACGCTGTCTCCTGTCCACACACATGGTCCGCATTAATCTACTGATGTGCCTCTCCAAACACGCCACCATTTGAGAGAGAGGAGGTATGATGGAAAAATGCAGACAGATGGATTAAGGAAGCAGTCAGGGGAAACGTTCACCATTTAGGCCAAGTGCACACTACTACACTCACTAAAGATTTGAGGCACTTTTACATGCACTATTTCATGCAGATTAGCCCTATTATAGATTATTGACAAGGCAGCACGATTTCCATGGAACAACTAACCATGGAATGTTGTTTAAAAGATTGTGGACATTTTGTTCTGATAATGGCAGGAGTAATTTATCAAAAGATGGAGAAGAACATTATAACAAGGCTAATTTTGCACGGACTCGTGGGCTTTTTCATTCTTGCAATTTCATGGTTTTCTGCGGGTCGTTGCCAAGGCATAGGTGTATTACATAGCTGTAGAAAGTCTTAAATTTATTGGCATGGCACTAAATCTTATATGAAATGTAAAAATGAATATCTATAAATATCTACCAATGATGCCAAAAAATCTTGTCGGGAACAGAACAAGAAGCATTAGATGACATTAAAAGACTCTATTTAAAGATCATTTTAAATCTTTACCTATCTTTGCCACTATCCTTCAAATCACTATTTTACCCATTTGTCAGCAATACATTTTTAATCATTTAAAATATAATAAAATTGAGTATAAATTTTGTATTTAGTCATTTGTATTTAGCATGTTAGCAGTAAAATTTATACATTTTGACATTTTATTTTCACAGAAGTTATTAGAAACATTGAAGTAGACACTTTATTTGCACTCTCTCTCTCTCTCTCTCTCTCTCTATATATATATATAATCACATACTTTTTTTTACTTTTTTATCTTATGTCATTTTGCTTCTCAAGTAAATATATCTTGATCTTAAGAATATTTTAGATATTTGCACTGGACAATGATTAAATTACTGAGGAGGAAAATCACTTGTTTGTGCTGTTGCCAATTTATCGTAGTGTCTGTAAGTACTCTCTCAAGTGTGCACACTAGAAATCTTGGCAGGTGGCTACAATTTGGCACTTACATAAAGTACCACAAAGTATTATGGTACTGCCATGCATGGCTCAAAAATAAATATTTTTACTTGGTCTGCCAATATTTTCACTGGCCCCGTTTAAAAAAAATAGTAAATTTTTAATGTTCATATGCTAAAACAGATATTTATTTCTTCATTTAATGTCAAGTATCTTTGCAAAGTATGTATACGTTTTTAATTTGCAGTAAGCCTCACTGTTGAGCCCTGCCATGTTTGTTACCATGGTATTCGTGGAAGTACCACATACTACTTGGAAGTGTAGTGTGTACTTGTCTTTACCTGCTGTCCGTAGAGTGAGTACAGTATGGTGAGGTTGCCGCTGTTGGTCAGCGTAAAGATGACAACTTTCCCCGTGTGGTTGAATCGAGGAGCTCCAGCGACATACAGCTGACCGTGCTGAGCCGAGACGACTGATGACACCATGTACCCTAGAAACAAGTGTCAATTTATACATTATACATGCAGTAAATATGATAAATATTGCCTATACTGGCTTAGAGAAAATACACAATTCAAAAAAACAAATTTTAAGACTAGTTATGAAACTCGCATGTATTTTCTTCCTAGTTTGGTGCTGGTTAGTTAAGTAGCCTTAAATGTCTTAAAATTAGTCCATGCTACATATGTAAGATGTATGATAGTTTGCATGGGGAACAGACTGAAATGTATGTCTTTATTCATTGAACATGTTTCTTTCCATACCTAATGATTCCTTCCTTTCAAACTTGGCAGGTCATTTTTGATTGCAATGCATGCAAAAACCAATGCCGACATCCGATATTTGGTCTTCATTTGGTGAGTTTTGCTATGTGCATGCATAAATTAAACTGGTAAAGAATAGAGTGAACATTCTTAACCATTTCTTTTATGTTCTACAGAAGAAAGTCAGTCATTTTTGAACTTGAGGGTGAGTGTATATATTCATTTTTGTCAGTCATGGAATCAGATCCTCATTTGGTACTGACCAAAAATGCTACATATGTAAGATGTATGATAGTTTGCATGGGGAACAGACTGAAATGTATGTCTTTATTCATTGAACATGTTTCTTTCCATACCTAATGATTCCTTCCTTTCAAACTTGGCAGGTCATTTTTGATTGCAATGCATGCAAAAACCAATGCCGACATCCGATATTTGGTCTTCATTTGGTGAGTTTTGCTATGTGCATGCATAAATTAAACTGGTAAAGAATAGAGTGAACATTCTTAACCATTTCTTTTATGTTCTACAGAAGAAAGTCAGTCGTTTTTTGAACTTGAGGGTGAGTGTATATATTCATTTTTGTCAGTCATGGAATCAGATCCTCATTTGGTACTGACCAAAAACGTTTCTTACCCAGATATGCTCCATGGTTCTTCAGTTCCTCTGGGAACTCTTTCATGTACGAGGACTTGGGTGGGATGACTTTACCATGACGGGTCTCTTTCAGAACAGCTCCGTTCCAGTCATATGCCCCAACGGCACCGACCAGAATACCATCCTTTAAGAGAACGGTTTTCATATTCAGTTGTTTACATTTACTTTTATCATAAACCATTGCACTTTTATGAAAGGGAAATGCACGTACAGTCATAAGTGAAAGAGAAAAAAACACAGCGTGTTGAATCAGAGATCTGGGTTCATGTACCTGCAGTGAGAACTCAGTGAGTGTTCTGGGATGATGACTAATGGCCTGGCAGTGACTTCAGCGGTATAGAGAATGCAAACAGAGAGTTTTGCCAAACCTCTCCTGCACCGATCCTAGAGCTCCTGCCAAAACTCTGCACTGCATTAACATCTGGGACTTTAGTATTCAAATCCATAAGGAACTGCCCATTCCCAACCAATACCACCACTACACTCAAATACGCTTGGTCATACTGTAGTCCTACTCCAGTTCAGACTGAATGTCCAGTACTAACTAACTAACTAAATGAATGACCCATGCACAACTCAACGGCACAATGCTAGAAAGCTGTAAGAGGTTAAGGGAATTGCAAGCAGTTGCTAAAGTGTTGGTTTAATGGGTTTCTACGCAGTTGCATTGTGTTATTTTAGTACAATTTATGTAATATTGCAGTATTTATTAATATTTTAAATTAGCTTTAATGTTTTCATTTAATGTGCTTTGGCAATTTGATAAATCTTGTTTTTAATTTTTTTACTTTATTACAGTATTTATTAATATATTAAACTAGCTTTGATTTTTTTAATTTTAAGTTTTAGCAAGTCTTTTAAATGTATTTGTCTATTTAATTTAATTATATTTCTATTTTGCTTACATTTGTTTTTAATTTAAGTTTTAGTCATTTCAGTCTATCGCCAATGCAACATTTCTATCTTTAGGTTTTTTTTACGTTTTTCCATCTAATATTTTATTTTATTTCAGCTTGATTTCAATTACTAAGTTTTTTTTAAGTTCGTTTTTTAAGTTCTAAGTTGTAACATGTTTCTATACTGTTACCTAGGTGTTCTGGGTGACTGCTTGGAGTAGTTTTTAGTGTGTTGCTAAGGTGTTGCTATGTGGTTGCTTACTGGCCCAAGTCAAAAGTGTCACATTTTCCCCCTGTTTAAGTAGATTTTTTTAGACATTTTTTTGACATTTTTCCTGTTTAAGTTTTTTTAGTCATTTAATAGTTTAATTCTCCAACATGCATCATACTTCAAATGTAAATTTTATATCAGCCAGGTTTTGAACACATTTTCAAAAAAGTTGCTATATAGGAGTTTTCAAGCAGCAAACCATGAAAGTCTTATGAAGTAATATTAACCACAGAAAACCACTATTCTAAAAATGTATTAGATATTCCCGAGGGAAACTCTGGCTTGAAAATGCCAGTTATCTCCTGCTGTTTAGACTATAAACTGAACAGCTTCGTAGTGACAACTGGCTTAGCAAACACCACTAATAATACACTACACAAACCATATTCTCCAAGAGGAAGACTCAGTCAATTTGCAGTTTAATGCACAGGAGAGATATTTTCCATACAAACGGTGGTCGTGTCAGGGATCGGGACCACCCTTTGTGATTAAGCGGACAGAAAAGTCTCCGGCTTTGATATCCTGGATGCATGCGAGCGAGAGCAGCAGTCATCTGTGAGTCTGACTGGAGGCCTAAACTCGCTGCGTTCACTGCCAAAGTTTTCCTCATGCAATGTCGACGTGGACACTTTGACAGAGTTCCATGGCACATTTGCACAATAAACTCTCTCCAATACACACTGTGTGTTGTTCCATTCGCTTTTTATTAGCAGTGCTTGCAAAGGCAAACCCCTGAACAAACCCTTAATATACCCAGAGTATTAAACTTCAGTATGTAACGTTTGTGCTAAAGAAATAAAGAAATAAATAATGCCTCAAATTGTGTGGATTATTGAGGAAAACACTAGCAACCACCCAGAACACCAAGCAACCATCTAAGTAAAAAAAATCCAAGTAAAAACCATTCATGTCTTAACAAATTGGCAGTGGTTTCAATAGTTAAATGTAGTTAGGTGACATTTTGCCATTTATAATGTAATGTTATTGTGGCCATGCACTCTGTCTTTGCTCTTTAATATTTTGCAGGCGCATAAAGAGGATAATTAATGTGACTATGTTTTATTGTCATCAACATGAACACGAACATGGATCCATTTCAGCATTTTGAGCACTAATAACTAATAATTTCTGAGACAGCTTGGAGTAGATTAAAGGTAAAACAAACCAAAAAAAACATTATTTTAGTATTACATTGAAATATTTAGATGTATTCTAATAAATAAGTATTTCTTGAAAGGAATTTCGGTGAAAAGAAATGTGCCCAAATGTGCAGTTTTCAATTATATTTGAAATTCATCTTATTTTTATATTTTCTCTTAATTTTAGTTAAAGTAATTTTGTTGTGTATTTGTCATTTTTATTTTATTTTAATGTCTATTTCTGTTTTATTTAGTTTGAGTTATTTTAGTACTGAGAAATGTATCACACACACACACACACGCACACACACACACACACACACACACACACACACACACACACACACACACACACACATATAAGGTGCTTGCCTTTATATAAATGTTACATAAATGTAGCACAATTATGCTGCCTCGTAAGATCCTTCTTTTATCAAAAATCTCAAGCTGCAACATGCTTTGTGGCGAAAGCAATCCCAGAATGCGTTGCAGGCTCAGAGATGCAGACAATGTGAGATAAATGTTAATTCTAAAATTAACTCAATATTTGTGTTTTCTTTGGATTTTAATGCTTGCTGAAGTCCCACGTTGTGTGCTAATGTCAAACTCTATTAGAATCAGTTGTAATTGCTATTTGCATGACACACTAGACCTTTTGAGAGATCCAAATCAGTCACTTATGAGATTTTATATCATTTTCGTTTTTGATTCTATTCAGTTTCATCTATTTCACCAATGTAGACATCTGACAGCAAGGTTTTGGAACAGAGTGTATGAGTTTTTCTAGGCCTGGCAGCTCTTTACGAAACAAAAGCAGTGAAATCTAGTATGCCGTGTCCATGTCAGCGGCCCAAGCTAATAAACCAACTTCCAAACGTTTTATTTCCATCTGATTAGGTTTTATTTACTGCAGTCTTGATGGACGCCAAACTCTTTTCCTTATAAAAAACAAAACAAAGTCATTCCTTTAAAAACATTTGCAGCCACAAGCAAATAAGGCCTTTACAAATAGAGTCACATGTCCAAGTGTGCACATAAAAGACAAGGGCACGTGTGTGAGAGTGTTCGCTCGAGGAGCCTAATTCAACAAAACCACATGTGTTCTCTGGACCTCGTTCCCTGGGAGAAGTCAAGAATGAAAAAAAATAAAAAAACTTTCCGAGACGTTATCTCCCATCTCGAATTGCCACTGTCAAGAGCGGTTCCTGGAATCCAACAGTGAAAGTTATGAAAAAAAAATTATTTTTCTTTGGGTAAGTTGTCCTTCATCTAACACAAAAGGAGCCCCAGACCTTCAAACCCCTCTCCTGTATGAGATTACTCAAACCGAGAGGGAAGGCGTGAAAAATAGTCTTCCCGACCCTCAGAAGCCGGTCTAAGCTGTTTTCATGCTGCTCACAGCATGTGGAGCGGCTTCAAACATAAACAAGCCTTATTTTAATTGAAAGAGTGGCGTTCCATGCTTCTGTCGGGGCCTAAAAGGACGTGCCTCAGGTTTGTTTTCCCATGGGCACTGAGCGGTAAACGAATCAATCTATCAGTGACTCTTTAGTTTGACTGATTCCGTAGTTTCTGCTCCAGGCTAATGGAAGAGCGTCAAACTCAATCACAGAGTGCAAAAAGCAAAATAACAGCATTTCATGCACCTCACTGAGGACGTAATATAATTCTCCGCACATTAGCGCTGTTGTCAATATTTATATTTCTTCTGTTTGGAACGGATGAAGACGCACTCACCTCTACGATATGTGAGGAGAATCCAGCTTGAGACATCTGCAGACCAAAGGCCGTACCGTTCTGGTTGGTGCCTGCAGAAAAGTCAAAAAATACTAAGAAAACTAGACTGTGGTGGTAACAGTGCAAACATCACTGCAGCGATGCTAATGTGCTGCTAATGCTATGCAGTTTCTATGGTCTTCTGAGTTGTTTTTATGTTGCTATGCGTTTGCTAAGGGTTTCTTATGTTGCTATGTGGTTGCTGGGGAGCTCTGAGTGGTTCTTAAGTTGCTATTCAGTTCCTAAGGTGTTCTGACAGGTTTTTATGTTGCTATGCAGTTTCTAGGGTGTTCCAAGTGTCTTATGTTGCTATGCAGTTGCTAAGGTGTTCTGAGTTGTTTTTATGTTGCTATGCAGTTTCTAGGGTGTTCCAAGTGTCTTATGTTGCTATGCAGTTGCTAAGGTGTTCTGAGAGGTTCTTAAGTTGCTATGCAGTTGCTAGTGTATTCTGAGTTGTTTTTATGTTGCTATGCGGTCGCTAAGGGGTTCTGAGTGGTTCTTATGTTGCTATGCAGTTGCTAAGGTATTCTGAGAGGTTCTTATGTTGCTATGCAGTTGCTAAGATGTTCTGAGTTGTTTTTATGTTGCTATGCGGTTGCTAAGATGTTCCGAGTTGTTCTTATGTTGCTATGTGGTTGCTGGGGAGTTCTGAGTGGTTCTTAAGTTGCTATTCAGTTCCTAAGGTGTTCTGACAGGTTTTTGTGTTGCTATGCAGTTTCTAGGGTGTTCCAAGTGTCTTATGTTGCTATGCAGTTGCTAAGGTATTCTGAGTGGTTCTTATGTTGCTATGTGGTTGCTAGGGTGTTCTGAGTGGTTCTTATGTTGCTATGTAGTTGCTAGGGTGTTCTGAGTATTTTTATGTTGCTATGTGGTTGATAAGGTGTTCAGAGTGGTTCTTATGTTGCTATGTGGTTGCTAGGGTGTTCTGAGTGGTTCTTATGATGCTATGTGGTTGCTAAGGTGTTCTGAGTGGTTCTTATGTTGCAGTTGCTAATGTGTTCTGAGTGGTTCTTATGTTGCTATTTAGTTGCTAAGGTGTTCTGAGAGGTTTTTATGTTGGTATGCAGTTTCTAGGGTGTTCTGAGTGGTTCTTATGTTGCTATGTGGTTGCTAGGGGGTTCTGAGTGGTTCTTATGTTGCTATGTAGTTGCTACGGTGTTCTGAGTGGTTCTTATGTTGCCATGTGGTTGCTAGGGTGTTCTGAGTGGTTCTTATGTTACTATGTGGTTGCTAGGGTGTTCTGAGTGGTTCTTATGTTGTAGTTGCTAATGTGTTCTGAGTTGTTTTTATGTTGCTATGTAGTTACCACGGTGTTCTGAGTGGTTCTTATGTTGCTATGCGGTCGCTAAGGGGTTCTGAGTGGTTCTTATGTTGCTATTTAGTTGCTAAGGTGTTCTGAGAGGTTTTTATGTTGCTATGCAGTTTCTAGGGTGTTCTGAGTGGTTCTTATGGTGCCATGTAGTTGCTAGGGTGTTCTGAGTATTTTTATGTTGCTATGTGGTTGCTAAGGTGTTCTGAGTAGTTCTTATGTTGCTATGTGGTTGCTAGGGTGTTCTGAATGTTTTTTAGCATATTGCAGTGTGGGATATGGTTTAAATATGAGATTACGACTATATTTAACATGTATTCATTGAGTTCTACCTTCCAAGCTGAAGATCTTCTCTCCCAGAGCATCGACGATATCCTTGAGTGCAGACTCATCAGTGACGCTGAAGAAGTGCTCCTCAGGATCGGTGGCGATGAACTTGATTTCCCTCAGAAAAGCTTCAGGATTGATCCCTCGCCGATTATAGTAGCCAAGAACCTGGAACGGAATTGGAATATCTGAGCTATGCTCACCTGTTCAACCTGTGCACCTGTTTGAACACAACTCAAGTATCTGAGTCACATGACTGGAGGAGAAGAGTAAACCTGAAGAGCACATCTGGAGGATTCCACTGGAAAGAGGCATTAACTCACCGCAATACCATACAAGGTGATATTATCCTTCTCACTTTCCTCCACGACTTTCCGTAGGTTTGGGCTGTCGTGTGATTCTCCATCAGTGATGACAATCATGACTTTCTTGGCGTCTGGGCGACCTCCGTGTTTGAATGCTTGTGTTCTGTTATAAGTACATAGACAAAGACATGTACACACAGTGCTGGGTAGATTGCTTACAAATTGTAATCCGTTACTGATTCCAAATCACATGACAAAAATTGAAGTTAGTAACATAATCCATTACATTACATATTTTAGGTAATATAATCAAACTACTTTTAGATTACTTTTGACCTATCTCATTTTTCACATTGATTTCTAAAACTGGGGTTTGTGAGTTTCACAAAAAGCTAATAAATAATTAAATCATAATTAATGTAAAATTAAAATAAATAATTGTAAAATGACAATAGTTAGAATAAAACTCTTACTAAAAAAAGATTAAATATTTTATTTGTTAACCTGAATGTCATGTGACGATTATGTAACATCAGAGAACCTTGAACATGCAAATGTTTTACTTAATTATGAACTTATTATTTAAAATCTCAGGGGGACATCAAGTAAATATATTAGGTGAAAGACGTTGACAAAAAAAAAAGGTTGGCAATAAGAAATAACATGAATGCACAATGTTTATGAAAGAGAAGCCTTTCAAAGAGTGTTTTAAAATGTAATATCATTTAATTACAAGTAGTTAATTTTTGGAATCTGCAGTCAGTTACTACCCAAAGTGAAAGTGAAAAAGTGAAAACGCGTGAATCACACATTGTTTCAACTCTGTTTTTACTCCAGTTGAGTTTTGATAATTAAATTCATGCATACAAAGAGATTACATTTTTAAATGAATTTGTCTGTTTAACATGATTTGTGTATCTTATGAGTTTATCCAAAATTACTCTGCATTTTAGTGTGATTTATGCAATTGCAAAACTCCAATTCCAATTTGAGTTGAATGAAAGCTTATTTCCGCCAGATTACAAATATATAAAAAAAGGCAATTGTGACGTCTAATCTAACAATTATTACTTTCTTCTTACAATTGTGAGTTTGTCTCACAATTCTCAGAATTAAGAGTTTACATCTCGCAATTTTGACTTTTTTTTCCTCAGAAAGTAGTAATCAGAATGTGCTCAGGTCAGGTGTCTAAACATTTTTTGGGGGAAAACAGAATTGCGTGTTGTAAAGTCAGAATTAAAAAAAAAAAGAAAAAGATTAAAAGTCACAAGTACCATTTCTTTTTAATTTTTTCATTCTGTAGCTAGAAAAAGTCAGAATTGTGAAATGTAAACTGAGGTTTAGTCTAGATGTAAATTCGCAGTTGAGAGTTTATATCTTGCAAGTGAACTTGCAATTCTGGGAAAAACAATTATGAGATAAAGTCGCAATTATCTTTTTTTTTATTAGTGCTGTCAAACGATTAATCGCGATTAATCGCATCCAAAACAAAAGTTTTTGTTTGCATAATATATGTGTGTACTGTGTATATTTATTATGTATATATAAATACACACACATGCATGCATATATTTCAGAAAAATATGTTATGTTTATATGTTAAATATATTTATTTATAATATAAATTATATGAATATAAATATAGTCATGTAAATACATGTAAATATTTTCAAAATATATACTGTATGTATGTGTATTTACATAATAAATATACACATAACACACATATTATGCAAACAAAAACTTTTATTTTGGATTTGATTAATCGCGATTAATTGTTTGACATCACTATTTTTTATATATGTAAATTTTTATTCCATGGCGTAAATAAGCTTCCATATATTCCATTGTAAATAATGATGCACAGTTAGTGGAAGTTAGTGAATAGCAGACAAACACAAACACGCCACTGTACCGAGCCTCACTGATCGCGAGAGCCGTGCGTGTTTCCTCGCCGCCTCGCTGGTCGATATTCTTAGCTGCCGCTACAACCTCCTCAACCGTACGGAAATCATCCAGCCGAAACTCGTTCACCACTCTCGCACCGTACTGGACCACCCCAACCTGGACAACAGGACAAAACACCTGATGAGATAACGTCTATATGCTTTTACATGTCATATTCTTGTCAAATTCTGTTGTTCAACTTAGTAACTGTAATGCATCAAACCAAAAAATAAAATTGCTAGAAAACATTTAAAATATATCTAGGTATTTCTACAATGCAACATGGTAGGTAGGGTGTTCTGAGTGCTTTTAATTAATATTCTGTTAATAATTCTGTATGAATGATCAGATTTGATGGGTTCCTGAGCCTCAGGAGTACAGTGGTAAGTGCTGTTATTGTACAATCCAAACAGTGCATAAATCAAAGTCAGAACAGTCCAAAACTGATTTTCCAGGTCGTAATTCAGACGCACCTGGATCTGTCCTGGACCGACGTAAAACTTCTGTAGCACATTAATCAGGAAATCTTGAACCTCATACCAGGGGTAGATGGAGTTGGATCCATCTAACACAATCACTATGTCCATGTAGGTCTCGCATCCTGTGGAGAAACTGCTGCTGTCACTATGCATGTGATCTGTAGTCCTTAATGAGAAGAATGTTTATCAGTGAAGAGTTTGGCTTTACTTTGAAAGGCTGGAGCGATGCTGTGTGTGAAGTCGAAGCTGCTGTTGACTCTTGAACAGATGCCTGTGCTGTAGTAGGAACTTCCACACTCGTACGACCACAGCGGCCCACATGCCTAAAACACATTAAGCATTTTACTTCCGTACTTTGATGAAAAATTATGATTTTTTTTTTTGCATAAAGTATATTACCACAAAGCTGTTGTCTTTTGGGTTGGAGGTGAGAGTCATTCCCAACCTCATTTTCTCTTTGCGTTCAAACACGTTGTTCAGGGATACCTTTTCTTAAAAACAGCCAAATGGCAAGAGAAAATTGAGAGAAAAATTATAAAATGTTTTGTTACATTACACCTTTTTGAAGCTTAAAGGGGTCATTGGATGCAAAATTCACTTTTACATGTTGTTTGAACTGAAATGTGTTGGCAGTGTTTGCCCATAACCACCCTATAATGATAAAAATCCACTAAGTGGTTTTTATTTAATCCCGATAAATAATATCCCCTTTCTCAAATCAAGCCGTTCTTGGCTGTGTGATGTCACACAGAGCCTGGCCCCTCCCACAATCGTTGATTGACACTAGTGTTTTTCCTTAGACCCGCCCTCAGTGAGCTGTCATCAGTCCACCATTGTTTCACTGCCGGAGCAGAGGCTCACAAGAATGGCTCCTAAGCGATTGAGGTGTTCTGTTGTTGGATGTAATAATGAACACAGCAGTCGTCATTTACTCCCAACAGTGCCGCTGAAGACACAGTGGATTACTTTTGTTTTTGAAGGGAATGAGCCCCCGATCTATCTAAATACATTTATGTTTGCACGAATCATTCGTGATTCAGCTTCACCTACAGAAGTAAGTAAGTATAAGGTTCTTTTATGAATCTTTGCAAATCGCCTTTCCTAATAACGTGATAGTTAGCAAGTTCTGCGGCTAAATGCGGCTAAAAGTTTACAGTCTCATGAGAACGGCTCATCACCCAACGGAAGAGAGAGGCGGGGCCAGCAGAGCTCATTAGCATTTAAAGGAACATGCACTAAAACGGGTTGCTGTGCAGAGCTGTTTTTGACAGGGTAAAAAGGGTGTTGTTTTACACTACCATTGAGACATTTTAACCGAAGTATGTTAAAGACTTTTCATTATGACCCTAAAGCATCATATTAACTTGTGGAAAATGGGTATCCAATGACCCAGTTAAGTCTTTCCCTGCCATTGACAGAATTTTTCAGCTTTCCATATTTTCACTGATAGGAGGCGCTATATGTAAAATAATGTGATCATCAAACATTAAAGGGCACCTATTATACAAAATCCACTTTTAGATGGTGTTTGGACATAAATGTGTGTTGGCAGTGTGTGTACACAACCACCCTATAATGATAAAAATCCACCCATTCTTTATTTTTGAATCCCCATTAAACCAAATCCATCTCACTAGGCCTACTGTTTTGGTGCTCTAAGCAATATGACATCACATTGCATAGGGCCGGGCCACGGCGGCTGATTGTCAGCCCTGCATTACTATAGTTTCCGCCCTCAGAGGTTGTATGCTGTTCTCCATTTTCTCCGCTCTTGAGCAGCTATACTGTTAACAATGTCTCGTAAGCAATCCCGATGCTCTGTGTTTGGATGTAAGACTGAACATAACATGGCTGAACATGCGCAACTGAGGACGCAGTGGATTACTTCTATTTTTCAGGTCAGCGCGGCGCAAGCTCTGTAACATCGCACTGTTTCGTCTCACTTTCAGTGCATTTGGCTTCTCACATGTACGGCTGAACACCGGTTCTCTCGCTCGGTTATGTTGCTTCTACCTGCTGTTTATTGCAAAGCAGAGAGACGTATACATGACGCCCTCTTCTGGAGACGGGGCGGGAATATGCAGCTCATTTGCATTTAAAGTGATACACACTAAAACAGCTCTTTTTAGAAACGCCTCAAAAATGACATTTTCCAGATGTTATAATAAATTACCTGTGGGATATTTTGAGCTGAAACTTCACAGACACATTCTGGGGACACCCAAGACCAATATTACATCTTGTAAAAAGGAGCATTATAGGTGCTCTTTAAATAGCATATCAATTTAAAACTGACTAAAGTTACCGAATGAAATGTCGATCCAGGAAGTTTTAGGACTGTGAAGATTTTGGGGTGTTGATGGAAATTATCTACTCCATCTGTTTTTTGATCATCGTTCTGAATCAGATCCAGATGTACTCTTTGACGAAACGTGATTTTCGTAGCTTTTTGTTCGAAATGTTTGCTTTTTTAATGAAACTTAGGGTTAGGGTATTTATAAAAAAAGAACGCATGAAGCTAGAATAAAATAGTTTGAAAGCAGAGGCTCTGTTCTTTCTTTTGACATATAGTATTGCATGTTGCATATTGATCATCGTTCTGAATCAGATCCAGATGTACTCTTTGACGAAACGTGATTTTCGTAGCTTTTTGTTCGAAATGTTTGCTTTTTTAATGAAACTTAGGGTTAGGGTTAGGGTATTTATAAAAAAAGAACGCATGAAGCTAGAATAAAATAGTTTGAAAGCAGAGGCTCTGTTCTTTCTTTTGACATATAGTATTGCATGTTGCATAAAAAATATTTTGGGGGCCATGCAATTTTTGTGAAGATGATTAAAAATGCTGGCAGTGGCTGCCAACATTTTCTTTTTAATGCTGGCAAGGAAAGAGTTAATATTGAGGTGTCAGACGGGTGATATGATACCTAAATGCAGTCGCGTGCAGTTTGTGGCGGGTTTGCCGTCTAGTGGACATCTGTAGACATCACCTGTCTGGTGTTCACCGCTGCTCTCAAAGGGAGCTCCAACCAGGAGCCTGAAATACAAGAATATTCATCCTCAAATACTTATACAACATGCATTATTTGATCAGGGTTAATTGTTTGATGTAATCTTCAATTATGCATCATGCTTTATTAAAATCTAGTTTGGTATATTTGGTTTTTCTAATGCACTATTACAGCTTTAATTGTTGTTTTTTTATTTAAGAAAAACATTGGGAATAAATTGGTGAACAGTAGCAGCTGACTCCAAACAGCCATTTTATGAGAAACACAAACGGGATCACAAGTTCAACATTCCAGCTGCGTTCCAGAGCTCCAGTCGAAGTCATTCACTCCCTGATAGGAGTCAACGCCACACGAGCCCAGCAGCAGCGAACTGCTAAGCAGATTTTTCCAGCTTCTGAGGTATCTCTGAGACGGAGCCAATACCAGAAACCAACAGCAAACTCGGTAATGCTGTTCGCATTGAGATCAAGACGTTTAGAACTGCGACAACAAACCACATCCCAGAGTTTGGCCTGTGAAATCCATCCATGGCAATGTTTACATTCCTCCACGGCCACTGCGACCTACAGCCGTGTGTGTTTTTTGAATCACAGAAATGTCAATTTGTGCTCCTGTCATATTGTCAATATGGGGAAAAAAACAGCATAAACTAGTTTGAGGTGGTTTGTTGGTCTTAACTGGTCAACAAAGTGGTTTTCAGTAGTCAGGATGGTGTAGATTAATAGTTTTACCTACAATCTTGAATCAGAAACATTTAGTGCTCTTGTCATATTGTCAGTACAAAAAACCCCCAGCATAAACCAGTCTAAAGTGGTTTGGTGGTTTTAGCTGGACACCAGGGTGGTTTTCACTAGTCAGGATGGTCTAGTTTGATGGTTTTATAGAGGTTTTGGGCACTTAAACCAGCTAAGCGAGCTTAAAAACAACTAAACCTATCAGCAAAAAGCCAGCAAACTACCTTATTCTGGTGTAAAGGTGGTTTGTTGGTTTTATCTGGCCAGCAGTGTGTTTTTCATTAATCAGTAGGTCTAGTTTGATGGTTTTATTTGCAAGCATGTGTTTTGTATGACAGAAACGTTACCGTCAGTCAATTTGCAAACTTGTCATATTGTTCATAAAACAGCATAAATCAGTCTAAGGTGGTTTGCTGGTTTTAATTCACCACCAGAGTGGTTTCAGCTAGTCAATATGCTCTAGTTTGATGATTTGTGACACTGGAGCACAAAAGCAGTGTTAAGTCGCTGGGGTAAGTCGCTGGGGTAGCAATAGCCAAAAATACATTGTATGGGTCAAAATTATAGATTTTTTTAAATGCAAAAAATCATTAGGATATTAAGTAAAGATCATGTTCCATGAAGATATTTAATAAATCTCCTACTGTAAATATATCAAAACTTAATTTTTGATTAGTAATATGCATTGCTAAGAACTTCAAAAAAAATATTTTGGGGGCCATGCAATTTTTGTGAAGATGATTAAAAATGCTGGCAGTGGCTGCCAACATTTTCTTTTTAATGCTGGCAAGGAAAGAGTTAATATTGAGGTGTCAGACGGGTGATATGATACCTAAATGCAGTCGCGTGCAGTTTGTGGCGGGTTTGCCGTCTAGTGGACATCTGTAGACATCACCTGTCTGGTGTTCACCGCTGCTCTCAAAGGGAGCTCCAACCAGGAGCCTGAAATACAAGAATATTCATCCTCAAATACTTATACAACATGCATTATTTGATCAGGGTTAATTGTTTGATGTAATCTTCAATTATGCATCATGCTTTATTAAAATCTAGTTTGGTATATTTGGTTTTTCTAATGCACTATTACAGCTTTAATTGTAGTTTTTTATTTAAGAAAAACATTGGGAATAAATTGGTGAACAGTAGCAGCTGACTCCAAACAGCCATTTTATGAGAAACACAAACGGGATCACAAGTTCAACATTCCAGCTGCGTTCCAGAGCTCCAGTCGAAGTCATTCACTCCCTGATAGGAGTCAACGCCACACGAGCCCAGCAGCAGCGAACTGCTAAGCAGATTTTTCCAGCTTCTGAGGTATCTCTGAGACGGAGCCAATACCAGAAACCAACAGCAAACTCGGTAATGCTGTTCGCATTGAGATCAAGACGTTTAGAACTGCGACAACAAACCACATCCCAGAGTTTGGCCTGTGAAATCCATCCATGGCAATGTTTACATTCCTCCACGGCCACTGCGACCTACAGCCGTGTGTGTTTTTTGAATCACAGAAATGTCAATTTGTGCTCCTGTCATATTGTCAATATGGGGAAAAAAACAGCATAAACTAGTTTGAGGTGGTTTGTTGGTCTTAACTGGTCAACAAAGTGGTTTTCAGTAGTCAGGATGGTGTAGATTAATAGTTTTACCTACAATCTTGAATCAGAAACATTTAGTGCTCTTGTCATATTGTCAGTACGAAAAACCCCCCAGCATAAACCAGTCTAAAGTGGTTTGGTGGTTTTAGCTGGACACCAGGGTGGTTTTCACTAGTCAGGATGGTCTAGTTTGATGGTTTTATAGAGGTTTTGGGCACTTAAACCAGCTAAGCGAGCTTAAAAACAACTAAACCTATTAGCAAAAAACCAGCAAACTACCTTATTCTGGTGTAAAGGTGGTTTGTTGGTTTTATCTGGCCAGCAGTGTGTTTTTCATTAATCAGTAGGTCTAGTTTGATGGTTTTATTTGCAAGCATGTGTTTTGTATGACAGAAACGTTACCGTCAGTCAATTTGCAAACTTGTCATATTGTTCATAAAACAGCATAAATCAGTCTAAGGTGGTTTGCTGGTTTTAATTCACCACCAGAGTGGTTTCAGCTAGTCAATATGCTCTAGTTTGATGATTTGTGACACTGGAGCACAAAAGCAGTGTTAAGTCGCTGGGGTAAGTCGCTGGGGTAGCAATAGCCAAAAATACATTGTATGGGTCAAAATTATAGATTTTTTTAAATGCAAAAAATCATTAGGATATTAAGTAAAGATCATGTTCCATGAAGATATTTAATAAATCTCCTACTGTAAATATATCAAAACTTAATTTTTGATTAGTAATATGCATTGCTAAGAACTTCATTTGGACTACTCTAAAGGCGATTTTCTCAATATTTAGATTTTTTTTGCCCCCCTTTAAATTCCAGATTTTCAAATAGTTGTATCTCGGCCAAATATTGTCCTATCCTAACAAATAATACATCCATGGAAAGCTTATTTTAATGTTTTTTTTGAAAAATTGACACTTAAGACTGGTTTTGCAGTCCAGGGTCACATTTTAGATAAGTTTTGGACACTAAACCAGCTGAAAACCAGCAGGCTGAGAAACCAACTAACTCTACTAAGTCCAGCAAACCATCTTGTGCTGGTTAAAACTAGTCGTTTAAGCAGGCTAATTAATTTGCTGTATCCCTTGGTAAATTAATTAATATGGCAATTTTTCAGTACAATGTAAAGTACACTGTAAAGATGAGTTTTCAAAATAAAACAGATTATTGGAGTACGTTTTACAAGAAAATACTATTTCAGTTTTTCTAAACTTTAAAATTTCACCATTAAAAATTAATTTAGTATGTTTCTTGCCATTTCTTTGTAATTGTTTGTGAAAGTTACTAGCAAATTCTGAGTGAAAATTACCCCCTTTTTTTTAGCATACCATAGTAGGATTTGTTTTTGCTTTAAGTCACATGATGGATTGCATTTGATTTTGGGATGTGCAGCACTCTTAGTTCCCACAATGCACCACTTTCTGAACGTCAGTTATTATTGAAATGTACCATTACACTTTGGCACCTGTAGTGAAGGTTTAGTCTATCCTGAGGCAAAGTTATTTGAGGAACGTCAAGTTAAACCCAGTTGTTTTTTCCAAGCCACCCAATGCTAATACAACATGCCAGGGCTTTCAGAGCTCAACATCTTAAAGGATGACAGACCATTTGAACAGTCCTAAACAGCCTAAAGTATCCCAGCATACTCCTAAATGAATAGTTTAGAATTTGTTTACTAATTTTCATGTCGATCGAAACCTGTATGCTGCCTTCCATTTACATTGTAATAGAAGCTAGCACACTAATTGCTCTGTGAATCCATCCAGTCATATGTATTTTATTAGGTTGGGTTTTCCACACTGCAATGAAAGAGTACATTTGATCCTATAATGATATTTTGGGTTAGCAGCAAACTATATGATTGCAAAATGGTGGAGAAACAAAGGCTTGTATTCTTAACTTTCAAAGCATTGAATTTTGTGTTCATCTGCTGCTCCTTTTTACATTGACTATCACTCTATATAGACTAATATAGTCAGATACAACAATCCTTTTTCAAATATTTTTTTTACAATATATACTGATAAATTGAACATTCACTTCAATGGTATGAGTAAACATTAGGACTGATTACTGAAAGCCATAGGTTCAAACACAATCATGAGTTGACTGATAAACTCACTAAACAGTTGCACCAGTTTTGAAGACAGTATTTCTGTAATCACTTCTAGTTCAACTTTTCCAGGTATGCTACACTGGTATCTACTGTACATTGCAGCATATGCACTTAAAGCATAATGCACTTAAACATTCTCTTTTTTTTCTCATTCTCTTTTTTTCTAGCACAAACAAATGAACTTGCAATGCAAATGAGGCTCATTATAGTACGCACCTTGTTCAGTGCATTAAAAGTTTGCACTGTTTGCATTTAGATGCATGCATTTTATCCAAAGCAAATTACATTGCATTTACTGGGAATCAGAAAGTTTTTTTTTGTTGTTTAAATGAGTAGTTTATATATTTTTTTCTGTTAGAACAGCCAGCTTTTGCATTTGGCTGTGTTTTGCAATTTTGTGTGCTAAAACAATGCAGACAGTATATGCAAATGAAGGCTAACAGCACGTTCAATTCATTTTAAGAGAATTTTCCCGTGTCCGACTCTAATCCGTTTAGTTCTTTGTTGTCTGAACCGCAAAAACTGTGCGAAATCCATAGTTCCTACAAACCCAATCCAAACCGTATTTGTATGTGGTCTGAAATCTGATTAAAATTGGAATTTTAGAAATGCATTTCAGTCTAAACGGTACAATCAGATTAGTATTAGTTGTAATATCCTGGATATTGACTTCGCTGTCTGAACAAACGGATCCGATTTCAGCACTTGCACAGTGACGGTGCAGACGGTCAGCCCTAAATATTAGATTTGAAAAACTAATCGGAATTGGGTGCAAAGCCACCTCGCGTTCTTTCAGGAGCTGAAATAATGTACTTCTGTGTGTCACTTTTGATAAAAGCATCTGCTGATGACATTAGCTAGAAACCCAGCTGAAATATAGACTGATGTTGTTCTTAATCGTGCATATCGGAACATGTTGACATGTGGATACCAATATCCCTAAAGTATACTATAAATTCTTCATTTAAGCTCATGAGTTATGCTGAGGAAATGCATCACTGAAACAGAATCAGCAACTAGTACTTTTTAGTGTTTACCATTAATGTCAACCCATTTTATGACCGTAATGTGATGTATTTTTATATGAAACAGGTGACTCTGCCAATGGGGTCAGAAAAATAAACTTAATTCAAGTTTATTTCTCTGACCCCATTTTTTTGTTTGTTACAAACACACAGCTTTTGGCTTCTCCAGATGTTCACTGATGGACTGGATTGGTGTGGATTACTTGTGGATTATTGCGATGTTTTTATCAGCTGTTTGGACTCTCATTCTGACGGCACCCATTCACTTCCATTGGTGAGCAAGTGATGTAATGAAAAAACAAACTCATCTACATCTTGGCTGAACTGAGGGTGAGTACATTTTCAGCAAATGTTCATTTTTGGGTGATACTATATATGTAAAAGAGGCACTTTTTATTTGGTGGAATTTAACAAAACATCCAGTCACTCTTGCATGTAAACTAGGCCTTGACTAAAACAACAGGGGGTCATTTTTTGAATAGTGTGCAAAACTTAACATAATCATTTTAGATGCATGTGTTTTTAAGAGCTCAAATATTTTAAGCAAAAGTGTCCTTTAATTTTTTAAGTGACATTCTACAGAAATGGAAAAACAGCATTCCTCTCGGCTCTGCGCAGTAAATCGCATTCCAGAGGGAAGCGCGCGCCACACTGTTTGTCTTACGATGGGATGCACAGGAGGGGGTTTGGGAATTACAAGCCACAAAACACATACTTTCCAGAGCTCGCGCTCGCAGACGGGTCGAGACAAGTGCAAATACTTTCCACTTATTTACCTGTGCACATCAAAGGCCCCCAGGTTTCTCAATGCTGGGGGACCACGAGTTCTCCATCAGTGATGACAAACCTCAGGATTAAACAACAGGAAGCTGACGTCTGGATTCGGTGGTTTTGGTGCCATGGGAGATTGGTTAACGATGTGTATTCTTTTGTGTACCTGGGCTTTTATGTGTCAAAAACAATACCCTGTGTTTTAAAGGTTGTAAACTGTGAGCATGTAATATTTAGGACTAATTGATTAGCTTTAACATACGTTCCGGTAAAGACTGGCTGGGTTACAGTAATGCCATTACTTGCTTATGACATCACATTCTGCATAGCAGCAATTATACATGCACCTGGTCCTAAAATGTATGTTTAACATTGTGGTCTAAATCTGATGTCATTTTATGCATATTAGTATATGCAATTTTTCATAGTCACATACTCAGTCAGGCTTCATAAAGAGTGAAAAACTGAAACATTGCATTTCTTTCAAAACATTGATCCGTCAACTTCGTAGTCAACCAATCATGTGATTTTGGGGCGGGACTTGTCTGTTTGCCTGACCAATAATAAAAGGGTTGGAAATACTGGAGAATTAGTGCAATACAATTTTAAATTACACACTTTTGTGGTGTAGAATAAACATTTTAAATGAAAAATTATTAAGAAATTCTATTGACATATAGACTGAAAAAAAGTCAATATTAACAGTGTTTCCTACTGGTTTCCTTTTTTTGCAGCGAATCATATTTTTAATGTTGGAAAATAGGGTTTGTTATTGACTAACCTCACTTTGTTTGCAAAAATAGAGCTATAGGATGAGCAGCACCACCACTAACGCATTGAATTTCTATGAATTATAATCCATAACCCTGAAATTGTACGACTAAATGTCCACAGTTATGACTCACTTGCTACTATGAACATTTGTTATTGGTTGTGAGTGGTTTTGCTTATTGCTTATTTAATTTCCCATGAATTTGCGCAGATGCAACTGAAGTACGTTGCGTCGGGAGAACCAGCTTGATTTACTTCGGTGAGAGCGATTCGTCTTCCTTCTGGGAGAGTTTCAAGGTCGATTCTGAGACTGTGTGTTTGCCAGCAGACAGCAGAACCATGAGCACGATCGCATTTCACAACAGTATTTCATCTGAAAAAAATGATGGATGAAACTATGCAAGGAGAGAATTATTGCTGAACTTCTGCCTTTCTCTATAATGTCTTGATTGTTTCTTCTAGGCAGCCATGAGAGAGAGCAAATCAAGAAGTTTCTCCTTAAGGAAAAAGTCAAACTGTGCTTAGATGTGCCAAGATATGAAAGTCAGAGATCTCAATATGAACTCAAACATTTCTCATCAAATGGTCTGAGCTGCTCTACATTCGATTTATAGTTCTGTACTCATACTGTGTGACAACGAATGACTCATTTGTGTCTTTTTTTTCATTCTTCACACATTTTAGAAGAAACATCTGTGACGATGTTGATTCTTCAGAGAAGCATGGCTGCAAACTCCATCTCATGAGGTATGAAAGAGCAACACCAGAGCTGTAAAATGTTCATTTGGGAATGTTTTCTCAGGCCTATGAAACTCAAACTGGGAATATAAAATCAAGGTTGCCATCAGGTTTTCATACAGAGCTAGTTTTGATGATCTTTACAGATCAGTTTCTGAAGATGCAGTCTTACCATTTCTGCCCGTCTGCCTCGTGTTGTTGAACCGTATATCCAAACTGAGCCTCCTTCGAACCCTTGATGATTTTTGCATGTCTGGTGTCAATATTAAAGCAGGTCCACCGCCCTGAAATAAACCCAAACAGCTTTTCAATTTAATTCAGTTGGCAGTAAATGGATTAAAGTAATGGTAAATACTTTAACATTTGTAGACTGTTACATGCTTATATGCAAAACTATTGGGCCCTATTTTAACGATCTAAGCACATGGTCTAAAGCGCAAGGCGCAGGTGCACTTAGGGCATGTCCGAATCCACTTTTGCTAGTTTAACGACGGGAAAAACCATTCGGCGCGCCCCGCGCATGGTCTAAAAGAGTTGTCCCTATTCTCTTAATGAGTAATGGGTGTGTTTTGGGCATAATGTGTAATAAACCAATCAGAGTCTCATCTCCCATTCCCTTCAAGATCCAGTTGCGCTCGCGCCATGGCGGATTTGCTATTTACACGGCGGAATTTGCAAGTGCAAAGACACAACGCGTCTCTAGAGAGGAAATGGATCTGCTCGTGCGCGAGCAAATAGGTAGCCTAATTCTGATACATGCAGTGACTATCCATCATGACATGTAGGCATTTTTATATTTATGTAGCCTACACAATAATAATCTTTTACATTGTAATCTTTTAATTTTTAATATTTGGCATGTTTGCGTGCTGCTGCGGGTTCCTGTGTGTGTAATAAGCAGAGTGTACGCATGTTGTGAACCCGCCTATAGGCGCATATTACTAACGCGCTCCTTAAATAACAAAAACATACTGCATTGACATAGTTGGTCAATGGCGCAGTCTATTTCACATGCCTCAAAATAGCAACGCACCAGAAATGCGCCTGAACATACCTCGTTTTCAGGCCAGCACGCCCATGGGTGCACAAATGAGCACAAATGCATGAAAATGATATCTGCGTTGGGCTGAAACTAGCAAAAAAAAAACACTTGTGTGGATGATAGGGCCCATTATTTTTTCATGCATCAGTTTTAAAGTTTTGGGTTATTTTTTTTATTTTTATTTCACGTAAATTGACTTCTTTTAGGCTAGTGGAAAGAAAACATCCAAAATTTAAGTGTTTATTTTATTGGACTTTATTTACTTGTGTATGTATGTTATTTACTTGTGTATGTATGTTATTTACTTGTGTCAATTACAAATCAGACCTTTTCGCTTCAGCAGTACTTACATACACCAAACTTAACAGTTTTTTTTTCCTATCTACAGTGGTTTCAGTCTAAAATTATTAGAAACCTATATTCTGTAGGTTTTTACTGAGTTTTTTTAAATATATAATTCCTATGGTATAGATGTAACATTTTACTTCTATAAACATGGTAAAAATGTTTGTTTTCTGTCTGTCGACAGTATTTTCTGATATATAGAGTGATAAAAAAAAGAGATATCCAAAATCCCCATAAAAATCTTTAACTCTTAAAGTTCAACAAAATGAAAAAAAAATTATCTTGCCTTCTAATGTGAGCACTAGGAATAGTGATGCTTGTCTTAGCAAATGCTTTTTGGCATAAATACTGTGAAACTGCAGCACTCACATTAAGAGCCCCTGATAAAAGGTCTAAATGTTACAATACGTCTAAGGAACGCTTATTCTATTCTTGTGCTGTTTTAAAGGAGGCACAATTTATCTCACATAGTCCACAAAGATGATAAACCGTCAATGAGACCACATGAAAGAGCAGGAGGGAAAAATTGAAGCTAAACGCCATCGGCAGCACATATCAAAGGGAATTCTGCGTCCTGTGATGGTCTATTCACATCCCTCGGCTTCTAGCATTCCCAGCCTCTGGATTTCATTTAAATGTTTTTTAGGAAAGGTCACTTGGATGGGAAGCAAGAATATGGTATCATAGAAGTGATGTCACATCGCCTTTCGAGTTTAGTTTCCTGGAGAAACGTTTCCCTTGACAGAGGGAAAAAAAAAGGAAAAAGGGTCAGTCATATTTCCTCCATATTCTTCTCTTTTTCTCAGCAGGATGAAAAGTCCCAACAAAGAAAGAAGCCCAGGATGAAAAGTCATCACACTTAAAAAGACGCATTGACCTGTTGTGAAGCCAACAAAAAATTCAAATATGTTTCTCACATTCACAGTCTCATTGATTGTGGAATGCATTTTGGAGAGTGTCGTTTTGTCTTATAGACAGGAATGTTCTGGCCTCAATACAAGATATAACGGTAGTTTTTGTGTTGTAATGTGTTACCACAGAAAATAATATTCGCTTATCCATCAGATTTGCTTAAAAATAAGTAAAATCACGACTATGGGGTCATGCACTTTGAAGGTTTTGACGTGAAGCTCTTTTTTAATGCTTGAATGAATTCTTCCAGACAAAAATGGTATTTGAACTCTAAAGCATAATTTTAGACAACTGATCTAGGCCAATAAAATGTTTGCTATTTGTGGTTCTTGTTGGTCCATTGGCGATCCGTTAACATTTCCGCTCATTTCAGCATGGAAGTGCCAAGAACATGCTGAACATTTTTGTTGGTGAGCACTCAGTTCTAGACTGATCTTTTTGAGCCAATCATCTGAGTCGTAAATGTCATGTGACCTAATAATTCTACAGCCACAAGAAAATGACATTGGCGCCACGTGAACACACTTAATCGCAAACTAGCAACTATTCTGTGACGTCAAAGACAGCAGATCATTCAGTGAGGGTGAGTAAATGATTTTTGTGTGAACTATCCCTTTAAATCGTATTCAGGGTTATTTCAGTAGTATTTACATGCTATAATTAATAGTGTTTATTACTAATTTGAATTAGCTTTTATTTTTAAATGCAAACTTCCTTTAAATTTTCAAGTTTTAGTGATTTGTAATGCACATTATTTGTTTTAATATTTAGAATTATTTTTTATTTCAGTTTTACTACTTCACCTTCAATTTTTTTCAGTTAGTTAAGGCAACATTTCTCATTTTTATCTTTTTTTTTTTTTAGTTTTTCATCTAATATTTATATTTTTATATTAATATCAGTTAACTATATATATATATATATATACAGTATATATATACAGTATATATATATATATATAT